TGCTGCTGCCTGCTGCTGCTGCCTGCTGCTGCTGCTCTAGCCTAGGAGATAATCAGGGGATGACTAAGACATGATTCAGAGATACCTGCGTTATATACACACTGACTGTCACCACCAACACACCGCTGCAACCATCCCCACCCCCACCAGCAGTAGCAGCAGCAGTATCAGTATCACCACTAGGGAATCCAGCAGTAGGACCCATAATCAAATACACAAAACGAAGACGGCTCACACAGAGGGAAAGGCAGACACTGCCTCACAGTAACCCAGAGTTTCACGCATAAACCCACAATAAGACAACACAGTGTGCTGACTCGCTGATGATTGCTTCTCCGTATGTGTATCAAGCTCTCTCTCTATCTAGCTGCCACAACTCGATTGAAGCGTGAAAACAGTTCTAAATGTTTATGTCAGGGCAACACCAGGATAAACTCACCGAATTGATTCCTGCAATGCCTTGAGCCAAGAGTCATGTTCACTCGCATCACTGGAGAAGAGTATCAGAGAGGAGGATTGGCACTCGATCTGCAGAATATAACGACAGGAAGGGACATACATAGAACACATACCTGTACCTGACGAGTGAGCTACAAACCCGGAGAACATACACACACACACACACATACACACACACACACACACACACACACACACCGAGTCACAGATTTCCATACCCAGTTGCATGTGCATCTCTCACAACAGCCCAGACCCAGAAGGAGAAAGAAAAACCTTTTAAAAATATCCAGATACATGACCTTATCTGAAGAAATAGCTATTAGCGCACAGGTCAGGTATGCATGCATGCAATATCACAGTTACTAGAATGTATTGCTGATATTCATCAGCAATACATTGTAAACACCACTGATTGTTCTTACTTTATTAATGCGATTAATAGTATAAGTGAAGCGGACATTACAAAATGATGAATGAGAATACATGTATCTGAAATGGTTGTTCCTAATCGATTTTCTTGAGACTATCATCAGGGAAAAATTCGTCTCACAATAGAGGCTATACGGAGAAACAAACTACTTATAGGTTATCGGATAGTGGGAAGTATACAAGGTGAGGTGTAGAAACAAAAACAAACTAAAGTGGGAGAGAAGACGAAAGAAATTAGAAGAAAAGATGTGAGAGTGTTCCGACGGTGTGAGCTACTACAAAAGGTGAGTGAAATGAAGGCGTGGAAGCAGGTGAATGTGATAGAGTGAGGAACTGTAAGGTGTAGGTGTATGCGAATGAATACGTGTGTGAATGCTAGGTGAAGAGTCTCAGTTTTGTGACATTTTCTTTCTGAATGCATAGATTGGGATTGTGTTTACGGATGAAAACAGCAAAAAAAATTCGGAACACTCTCACATCTTTTCTTCTAATTTCTTTCGTCTTCTCTCCCACTTTAGTTTGTTTTTGTTTTTACACCTCTGTTCTGGAATATTCCCAGCTTGTGGTGAATCTTGCATGACCTTTCATTGTACTCAGGTTTCATTTCTTTTATTCTAGTGCATGCTGCTGGCGCCTGATGTATTGACTATTGTTACCGCAGGCCAGTCTCAACCTTTGCATTGTCTGAGATTCAAGTAGCGTATCGTTTGATGCATGTGCTGTCTCCATGCTATCTAGTCGTAATATATTCACTCGTCTTTGCATTTGTGCACAGTCCTGTGGATACTCGCAGGCTGCGATTGCGCTCTCGCTTTCGTCATTCTAGAATGTATACTTCCATGCCTTTGAAGTTTTTTAGTTGTTAGTTTTGAACTGTAGGAAGCAGTTTACAGTTTTGTTCTTGCAGTTTTATCTCAGAGGAGAAAGTTCTTGGTCTCATACTGTTACGAGTTGCTGTTGTATCTGGTTGAACGCATGCCGGGGCAACAGAGGGCAGCATGAGTAGCCATAGTGGTCCTATTCGAGCCGGATCTCAGAGCCAGATCCAAGAAGTCCTGCGCGACGACGAGCAAGTCCCAGGCGCTGAGTGTAGACGGAGCTCGCGGTCTACCAAAGGGAGACCGCCGAGCAGATACGGGTTTGATAACTGGAGTGACGTCCCGGACAGCGTGAGCTCTGCAGGACATGCGCCCTCGAAAGTTTCAGGAACTGCTGCGTCGCAGGCGTCACTTCGTGCAGAGATGCTTCGTGTAGAACTTGAGGCTGCAAGGCAAATCGCTGAGCTGGAGGAGGAAGCCGAGACACGCAAGTTGGCTCGTGAGACAAGTTTGGTGCAGAGGGAACTGGAGGTTCGAAGAGCCGAGGCTGAATCTGCAGCTGCACTACGATCCGGGTCAGGGAGCAAAGTGTCGTCTCGCAAATCAGAGACTGGAAACGCTGCATCCAGTGGCAGGGCAATATTGACTGCCAAGAGTCTTGCTGAGCACGACAAGTTGGTCGGACCTGGTCGAAAATTCGTATTACCACCGCGTGAGCACTTCAGAACGATGAGTGATGTCGGTGGAGTGAACGGACAACGCGACCACGGCAAGCCAAGGAGTTTGCAAGGTACGTTTCGTACTGTGAATGCGCCCACACAACCTGAGGCTGTATTAGGTGTGGCGGAAGACAACCCAGCTCAATGCGTTTGGCGTGCCTGCCCTGGGGCCAGTGGCGCAAGCATTCATGCTCGCGCCCGCTCAAAAGTCTGTGACCAGTACAGACTCAGTGCTGTCAGTAGTGCCAGCCAAGAAGTCAATGGCCAGTGGTGCGCCTGTAGGACGTACTACAGTGTCCATACAGGCAGCTAGTAATGCAGTGCCTGTACAGCCAGCAATAAGCAGTGCAGCAGTACAATCAAGACTGCCTGGCAGTAACAAGAAGGCAGTATCAATGCTGAATGCAACACCACCATGGCATACACCACAGAAGCATACAGCAGTGGCCAAACAGCAGCCACCAACACCAGTGGCAGTGCAAGAACACTCCAAGCAGGTGCTAAACCCGCAAGCAGAGTCCTTCATGCCCTATCCACCTCAACTGCAGACACTACACCCTGCTAGTTTCAGCTTTCACGTGAAGCCACTGGAGCTACCAAAGTTCTCTGGCAAGACTAGTGACTACGACCGGTGGAAGCAGAACTTTCGCCGCGTTGTTGACGAAGATCCACTAACGACTGAAGCGTACAAACTTGCACAACTGCGTGAGTGTCTCATGCATGGCACGGCCAGCGACCTTGTTGATGGCGTGCTTGACGGTCCAGGAGCCTACCACACCATCCTTAGGGAGCTAGATGCATGGTATGGCGGCGACAATCGCACTGTTGAGCGCCAAGAGAAGGAGATTTTGCAGTGGCCGAAGCTAAAAGAGTCAGACGACAACTTTGCCAAGTTTGTCCTCAGACTCCGGACGATGCTCATGAATCTGGAGATGTGTGCAGTAACACCGGGCCGTGAGTTGTACCTATCGGTTACGCAGAAGTTGCCGAAATCGCTGTTGCTTAGGTACATGGAGAAGTATGACGATGCTGACTGTGATATTTACCAGCTAACACAGTGGCTCCTCAGACGCGTCAACACACTACGCCGTGCCGATGAACGACTCCGGTCGACAGAAGTCACTGCCTCAGCACCAGCACCAGCAAGATCATGGTCGAAGCAGAGTGCTACAAAGTCTGAACGAACATTTGTGGCAACTAGCAAGGATGCAGGTGCCGACAGAAGCTGCCCCTCGTGTGGCAAGGCGCATCAGCTCCACCGCTGCCCCGATTTCATCAAGATGGAGGTCAGGGACCGATGGAAAGTCATCAAGTCCAAGCCAGATGTCTGCGCCCTATGCTTCGGTCTCAATCATCGCGCAAAGACTTGTACCAGGCAACCCTGTTCAAAGTGCAGCCGCACGCATCATGACATGCTACACTACAACATCCGACGCTCGGATTCCGCTGCAGACCCATCAAATGCCGCAATCAAGGCCAACGCAGCTTCGGCCAGCAGTGGCGGTCCTGTCAAGATTGCTACAACACATTGCGCAAGTCATCAGCCAGAGATTGACAGTGTCGAGTCATTCATGGTTGTGCCTGTTGTATTCCGACACAATGGTGTGAGCCTCCAAGGTAATGCACTCCTGGACCCAGCATCGTCCACGAGTTATGTCCAGCAGTCCGTGGCAACAGCCCTCAATGTGCGTGGACCCAAGCGGCAGCTCGTCACTTCCGGAGTAGGCGGCAAGCAGACCGCAGCAAGACGTGAGCATGTACAGATCCAAGTGGCGGCTCTGGGCGACAAGACCATGAACAAGCTTGAAGCTTGGGTTCTGCCCACCGTCACCGTGCCATTACCGGCAGTGAACTGGAATCAGCACAAGAGCAGCTGGCCGCATCTCAGTGATATTGACTTCCCATCCATCAAGGGCAGTCAGATCGACGCGCTTATCGGCCTGAATGCCATCGAGCTTCATGCTACTCTAGAGGAACGGCGAGCAGAAACAGCAAGAGCGCCCATTGCTCGACGAACTCCTCTCGGGTGGGTGTGCATTGGTACAGGAGTCGACACCACTCGTGCAATCACAGCTACTACACCAGCTACTGACACAGTGCTAACTGATGGGCTGACCGAGCTAGTAGAGAAGTTCTGGCGAGATGAGTCGGCGGGCACAGATAACCCACTAGAGGAGACGCCTTCACCCGATGACAGAAGAGCCGAGGAGCTCACGAGCCAATCAATCAGCTGCAACGGCAACCGGGTAACTGTCCGAATCCCATGGGTCAATGACAGCGGTAAGCCACGTGTCAGGTCCAACAGAGCTCAGGCTGAGCAGCGGCTCCGCAGTCTACAACGCTCGCTACAGTCACGGCCAGCCGTGAAGCAGCAGTACTCTGACGTTATGCAGAAACACATTGCCAAGGGTTACGTGAGACGCGTGGACCCGGATGAGATAGCCAAAGACGGCAACGACCAGTGGTACCTACCCCATTTCCCGGTAGTACGCTCAGATAAATCCACGTCAAAAGTGAGAATAGTATTTGACGGTGCAGCCCGCTGGGATGGACACTCCATCAACGATGAGATGTTTACAGGTCCTGCACTTCAAAACGACATGACCAGTGTGTTGATCCGATTCTCACTGGAACCAGTTGCGCTTGTTGGTGATGTGTCGGAGATGTTCCTCCAAGTCAAACTGGCGGAACGTGACCAGCGCTATCATCGCTTTCTGTGGTATGATGACAATGGCCAAGTGCAGGTGTATCAGTTCACCCGTGTGCTCTTCGGCGCTAAGGCGTCACCGTATCTGGCAGGACGAGCGGTGAAAGAGGTCATCAAGCACCACGGTGATGAGTACGACTCTGACGTCGTGCAGTGCCTAAGCAAAGACCTCTACGTTGACGACATGCTGTCATCACTACCATCCACACAGCGTGCCATCCAGGCCAGAGAGCAAACGCAGCAGCTACTTGCCAAGGGCGGTTTTCACATGCGAAAATGGCTGTCGAACAAAGCTGAAGTGATGAACACCATACCAGAGGAAGATAGGTCACCTGATGTCGTCCGAGATGTGGACAGTGACACCAGCCTCCCAACTGTCAAGACTCTCGGCGTCAGTTGGAACGCCGAGAAGGATGCCTTCACCTTCCAGCATCAAATGAAGGACATCACGACATTCACCCGACGCTCTGTGTTGCGCGGCCTGGCCTCCATATTCGATCCGCGTGGCCTGATCTCGCCATACGTCATCACGGCTAAGGTACTCCTGCAGGATGCCTGGTTGCTGGGACAGGGATGGGACGACCTGCTGCCAAAGGAACAAGTCGTCAAGTGGCAGGGTTGGTTCCAAGGCCTCCCAGACCTGAGTAACCTGGAGATCAGCCGCTGTTTCAAGGATCCACAACAGCCATCCGAAGACGCCAGTCTTTCCGTGCACTGCTTCTCCGACGCCTCAGATCGGGCGATAGCAGCCGCTGTGTATGTCAGAGCCAGCTACCCAGACGGTACCACCCGAATAACGCTAGCGATGTCGAAAGCGAAGCCGGCACCAGTGAGGCGACAGACGATCCCGCAGCTTGAACTGAGAGCAGCTGTGCTTGGCGTTCGCGTTAGTCATCTCGTCGCTGAATCCATCGGTATCCCAGTGTCAGCTCACACATTTTGGACGGACTCGATGAACGTCTTGGGCTGGGTCCAAAGCCACAGCCGGCGCTACAAAGTGGACATTGGCAACCGAATCTCTGAGCTCCAGACCTCAACGAGAGCACACCAGTGGCGACATGTTCCCGGAAAGAACAACCCTGCAGACAAAGGTACTCGTGGTTTGTCTGCTGCATTACTGTGCCGTGACGCAGTGTGGTGGTCCGGTCCACAGTTTCTTCGCCAGCAGCCAGATGAGTGGCCTCAGATGAAGGAAGTCAGCACATCCTCGCTGCCTGGTCAGCTCAAGACGGCGCTAGTTGCAGTCGTCCCTCCACCCTCCGAGATCCTGGGTCGCTTTAGCACATGGTCGCGACTGGTACGCGTGACAGCATGGTGCAAGCGATTTGTGGCAAACTGTCGGCAGGCAGTCAGTGACAGCAAGTCCACGAAGGGGGATGCCGCATCGGACAGCCAGTCCAGCACGCCAGTGAGAGTGCCAGTACAGCTTGGCGGCACCCGCTCCATCAGTGTTCCAGTTCTCAGCACTGACGAAGTATCAGTAGCAGAGCGGCACTGGATTGCAACTGCCCAGAAGGATTGCCATGGTACAGCATACCATCGTCTACAGTCTAGGCAACCGATGTTGAAATCGGACTCTCTGGCACCTCTCTGTCCCCAGTTCGATAGTGCAACAGAGTCACCCCTGATGACGGTAGGAGGTCGATTGCAAGCTACAAAGAACATGCCAAGTGGCGTACGCCACCCAGTCATCCTACCAGCAAAGCACCGAGTAACCCAGCTGATAATCGAACAGGAAGATCATCGGTGCTTCCATGCAGTTGGGCCACAGCATCTTCTGGCCAATCTGCGACAACGCTACTGGATTGTTCACGGAACATCAACAGTCAAGGCCGTTCGAAGCAACTGCGTCACTTGCCGTAAGAACCGTGCGGAGCCAGCGTCCCAGATGATGGGCCAGATTCCAGACTTCCGAGTTGCAGGCTCGTTGAAACCGTTCAGCCGTACAGGAGTTGATTACGCGGGTCCCTTCCTGACCAAGCAGGGCCGAGGTAAGACGCAGGCTAAGCGGTACCTGTGCCTGTTCACTTGCCTTGAGACTCGTGCCTGTCACCTAGAGGTATCCTATGGCCTCTCCACTGAGTCATTCCTGTTAGCATTTGAGAGATTCACAAAGCGCCGTGGTGTCCCGCTTGAAATGGTCAGCGACAACGGGACCAACTTCACTGCCGCGGAGCAAGAACTCCGTGAGGCCGTCCGGGCCATGGACAAGGAGAAGATCGAGAAGCGACTGGTCAGTGATGGCGTGCGATGGCGCTTCAACCCACCTAGAGCACCACATTTCGGCGGCGTATTTGAATCCCTCATCAAGACGGCTAAGCGCGGACTCACAGCAGTACTTGGGAAAGCGGACGTCACAGATGAAGAGTTAGTGACTGCCATGTGCCAGGTTGAGGGCATGATGAACTCGCGCCCGCTGACAGTTGTAAGTGCCGATGCAGCTGATTTGCAGCCTCTAACACCAGCACATTTCCTCGTCGGACGACTCGACCCACCAATGGCTCTGGAAGTGAAAGCAGACGAGCACCCCAGCAGAGACCCACGCAAACGTTGGTTGTATGTTCAGCGGCTTGTAGCAGACGTGTGGAACAGGTGGCGAGATGAGTATGTTCCCTTGTTGAATGTCCGTCGTAAGTGGCAACGTCAAGGTCGCAATGTAGCCGTAGGTGACATCATGCTGTGTCTTACATCAAACACTCCCCGTGGAACATGGCCCATGGGTAGAGTCACAGCAGTGCATCCTGGTGCAGACAAGCTCGTCCGAGTAGTGGATATTAAGATCGGCGACAAGATCTACCGACGGTCTATCCACCATCTAGTACCTATTCTGGACACCGAGTAGTTTGTGCCTTGTGTATCTGAAGTGCTACAGGCAGCCCTGTGACAGTACTCTCTCTCTCTCTCTCTCTCTCTCAACCTATGAAGTTTTTCTTTCATCATACAGTACCGTAGTAGTACTCACTCGTCACAGTTTGTTTGCTGACCCTGTGCTCGTGAGTGAAGGGGGATATGTTCTGGAATATTCCCAGCTTGTGGTGAATCTTGCATGACCTTTCATTGTACTCAGGTTTCATTTCTTTTATTCTAGTGCATGCTGCTGGCGCCTGATGTATTGACTATTGTTACCGCAGGCCAGTCTCAACCTTTGCATTGTCTGAGATTCAAGTAGCGTATCGTTTGATGCATGTGCTGTCTCCATGCTATCTAGTCGTAATATATTCACTCGTCTTTGCATTTGTGCACAGTCCTGTGGATACTCGCAGGCTGCGATTGCGCTCTCGCTTTCGTCATTCTAGAATGTATACTTCCATGCCTTTGAAGTTTTTTAGTTGTTAGTTTTGAACTGTAGGAAGCAGTTTACAGTTTTGTTCTTGCAGTTTTATCTCAGAGGAGAAAGTTCTTGGTCTCATACTGTTACGAGTTGCTGTTGTATCTGGTTGAACGCATGCCGGGGCAACAGAGGGCAGCATGAGTAGCCAACCTCACCTTGTATACTTCCCACTATCCGATAACCTATAAGTAGTTTGTTTCTCCGTATAGCCTCTATTGTGAGACGAATTTTTCCCTGATGATAGTCTCAAGAAAATCGATTAGGAACAACCATTTTAGATACATGTATTCTCATTCATCATTTTGTAATGTCCGCTTCACTTATACTATTAATCGCATTAATAAAGTTATTGTCTCCTCGTCGCCTTTTGATTGTTCTTACCATCAGGAGTGGCGATACACTGGGCACTCTGGGATGATGGCTGAGTGCCGTCACGGAGCAAGTCACCAGCGGTAGGGCAGCACGGAATATATGCGTCCTGTTTTCAATATTGGCAGGGATTACAACAACGATGACGACGATGGCAGCAGCAGCAGCAACAACAAATACAACGAGGATTGAAACGCCAACACTGACAACCGGATTATCAACAAATCATCCGTGTTAAGACATGCTAACAATGTTACGTGTCACCTGTCAGAAACACTCCACTCCAAATGGAGTCCAATAAACTACTGTCTTACCTTTTATCCAGACAAAACTGGTCAGAGTACCTTCCAGTCTTGTCTGAATATAGCAATTCGTCAGAGCAATTTCCACATACACTATGCGTACAGTCTCAACAAATACTTTTATATTCATTGCCGGCTACGGGTCCTTAGTTCGATATGGTGTCACACCTGCATCTCTTAGATACGCTACCAATCGGATAGTAGCAGAGGAGAATGCCGCAAGAGAAGGAGGATGCACTGTGTGAAGCGCACATACTGCACGCAAGCTCTCTTACCCGGACACACTATCCTTCCTTGCACCCTGCAATCGGGCACGCGGCTTGGCATACACCAGCTGATCAGAGAACAGGAATATAACGCGTTCCTTGCTCTTCTTGCGACACACCTTCATCAGGCGACCCTCCTTGACGAATCGGCGGCCTGGGGATGAGATAAACGCCAAAAGCACAATTGAGACACAAACAACTCTCGGAAGCTTTCAGCCATCACATCACAGCCTAGAACTGCTTTCAATGAACCTTCCCGCCTCCCACCGTGGCAAAGCGGGTGGATCCATCATTGAGTACTTAGCATGGAATGTAAGTATAGATTATAGACCGGTTAGGAGGTCTATACAGGGGGACCTCGGTCTTTTACTCGGTCTATATATCCTGTATAGACCAACTATGAGGTCTATAATCTATTTATCGTGTTCTCCACGCAATAGTTTCTCTTCATATACGACATATCCTTGTAATTTTAGTATTATACTATAGCCTATACCGCATTGTACGGCTTTGCAGGATCAAGGTCATTGTTTAAACTAGGTTTAGCATCGGTAGCACAGTGGCTGGGTGGTAAGGAAGAGTGACTAAGGTTCACATGGTTGTGGGTTCAAATCCCATCTTGTGTATATCTGCTTTCTTCAAAAATTTCTTTTTCTAAGTTGGAGAGAAAATTTCTAAGTCCAAGAAATTCTAAGGAGTCAAATATAAGTAGTCAAATATATTGTGTATTTGACTAAGCAGTCAAATACGCGATATATTTGACCGCTTAGGTATCAGGGAAATTAGTGGGGTCGAATACTAAGAAGGCGATAAACACAAAATACACTCAATTTCCGAGTATGTCCGATTGCACTAGTACACAAATTGAAACATACAAAGGTGAAACATTCGCATGATCATAGTCATATTCAACAAGACATCAATTACATCCAGGAAATCAACACCCGCAAAGTGGGAGAGAGTGAGAAGCTTCTTGTCTGCATTACTGCTTCGAATGAGCCGAATTTTGACTAATCAAACAACATCTCCCCCACCCTTTGACCAGCGCTTTGGTCGAGTGGTTAAGGGCTTGCCTGCGAATCACAAGGTGCCGAGTTCGAGACCCGTGCTGGGAGCAGGGAGTGTGTACTGTGCTAACAAATGCGGTGATGCATGCGTGAACCACTATACATGCAAGGAACTGTGCCGACACCCAACGGTCAACTGGGTACTCACTACTCGGAGTGAGGGTAACATGGATGCAGCTAACGAGGTTTGCCCCCTTGTCGGGCATTGGTTGTGAGAGTTACCACCTCACCCTTGCCATTAGGCTCTGCATATGCCACCCTGGTATTACAGGCATGGTGGTGGCCTGGCACGAGCAAAACTTCCTAAGCTGGTTGTGTTTCTCAGTGCAAGTGTATAGCCGGTTGTAACGCGGACGTGCGAACTTTACTTTTTTTTTAAACAACATTTACATGTTTCTTTCCCAAACATGTTCGGAAAATTGAGTTCAGACACTAGAACAGGATCACTGTGTTTGTAGATTGAGCAATGGAATACTTACCCGGCATGAGTATTCGATAGTCACCTGCACCTGACAGGCTCTGCTGGATGCTCAACATCTTCTCAAAGTTCTCGTGCTGTCGTATGTACTCGTTGATGTGACTGGCAACCTCGCAGATCTGATCGTACGATGCTGCAGTACACGTGCAAGCATTACAGCAGCCAGTAACATTGGCATATACCAATACACAGGTGACTATTACAGCAGCAGAGATCATTGGCACATACCAATACAAAACTTCAAGTACCCAGCAGAGAGGGAGAATGATTTTTTCTCGCACCAATATTGAAAATACAACATCTGCTTTATACGATCATGATCATCACTAATCAAAGGATATTCATCCTCTGCATAATGAGCACTTAGTAAATCACTGAATCAAACATTATCGCATGTCATTTGAATAACCCACTCTCTCCGGGTTCTTTCCTGGATCCCATTAATTCCTTTTCCTTTTTCTTAGATTAGAGCATGGTGAAGATAAAAATAATTCACTGGCATGAGGGCATGTGGCAACGTAAACCGAGAACAGCAGGCGTTGCTCAAGTATAAACAGTGTGAACTCATAACTTGATGCGATGATTGACATGCAAGCCTGCCAATTCAGTTCAGTGATCATTGACTTGATCAGCAAAACATGAAAGAGATTGGCCAATGAGCTGAATGTGTAAGTGTGTGTGTTTTTTTGTATGCATGTGTTAATCTGTGTGTGTGTGTGGGGGGGGGGCATAGACGTGCCCTTTACGATCGCCAGTGGTAGCAAGTCACGGAGAGACATAATGATCGGAGTGCTTACTTTTCAACATGGGGAAGTCTGGATGGGTTTCGTCTGTATGGCGTAACAGGTCTTTCAACAGCAGTCGATACCTGACAGCACCGGTTAACAATAACAAACACAGCTGTAATATAACTCATAATACCATGCAGAGTATAGATACGCGTACATCAAATGAAACTATAAACATCGGATGCGTTTTTTCACTTTTGTGTATTCCGCGCACTATTCGAGCTGCCTCCATCTTTGTAAAATGAAATGTACAAGGGTCAATCTGGCAGCTTGAATAGACCGCGAAGTACACCAAAGTGAGAAGCATGGTACTTAAACACACTAGGGATGTGCTGCAGAAAGAACCTCTCCTCTCCTGTGTTCGTACATAAGGAAAGCAATGTGGTGGGACTACTGTGTGCACGCCAACAATGCATTCATTGCTCACTTGCATCAGTGCAATACCGACCAGTGAAGCAGATTCACATCTGGCCTGTCTGAATGCTTGAAGTACACACGACTAGTGTGAGCATGCCGGGCAATTGTGCGATCCCACGCGCGCACAGAGGGTGTTTACACCAACTTTTACATGCCTAAAGAAGGCTTGGCCTGTCTGATTACACAAGACTGGTATGAGCATGCCGGGCAATTGTGCGACTCCAGAAGTGCACAGAGAGTGGGTCTACCAACTTTTAAATGCCTAAAGACGGGACTTGCACACTTGCGTTGATATTCTACACCTAACTTTACTCATCTACTGCTAGGCTTTCGAGATTTGCACCCGAAAACACTCTACTGTAAAAGCCATATATATATATAACGAAGTGCTAACTCTAACGGGTTAACGAGGAGAAATTTGTCGTTAAAATATAAATCGTTATACAGAAATCGATCCATATACTGTCCTATTGAGCGTTGAGAATTAGTGAGAATCGTTACCTTTGGTACACGTAAACTAGTCAATTTTGGGAAATCGTTATATATGCGCCTCGTTAGAATAATGGCTTTTACAGTACTTTGTTCCTACAAGTCGTAAATTTATTACTAGACAGATTTTCACGGAGATCCTGCACGCAGCCTAAAATTTGTTATACTTTTCGCTAAAATCTCACTCCAATGCTTAAAGCACTGCAACAATACCTTGGGATTCGCTGGATTGGCATTATGAGGAAGCCTTCCAACCTAAGAGCCTGACAGCTTGGCCGTGATTCCTGCGACGTCTTGAAGCCAGAAAACTCTGAATTGCGTAGCACACACTCCTATGAAACACCAGCACACGTAGCACCAAACAGACACAACGTCCGGGAAATGACAGCTTAGCCAGGTGTGGTTGGGCAACTGAGCCAGCACCAATGGGACAAACAAACACGGCGACATTCACAATATCAGGAACTAACAGGGCTAAAACTTGCACCTAAACTTCAGAAGGTAATAACCTGATCGGGTGAGGTCGGTTCACTATATCAGAACCCATGGTAAGTTCCATCTTTTTATATCAGTGCCTGTTTATATCATCCTGTCCCCTTGTTGTTAGTAAGTGGGTCAGCGCTACCAGATCGTATTATGAATAACAGTCATAGCAGTGTCATTTGCAGCAGCAGGGCTGGATTGCAGCAGGGCTGGATTGTACAGGCCAACACACATGTATGCATACACAGACCAGCCCACACTCATGTACACTAATATACATACACACAAACGAATGCACACGCGTGCGCGCGCGTGCGCGCGCGTGCGCACACACACACACAAACATGCACACACACACACATGCACACATACATGTACACAAACACAGACTCGTGTGCATGCTAACAAACACACACATAACTTATCTCGCCGCTCTCGACCATGGTCAACATAGTGATAAATTTCACCCCGCTGATGCATTCTTTTCCTCCGATTATCATATTCTTTCCTTGTTTCTTTCTTTTTCTTCTCTTGCCATGCCTGGCTAAGGCCCCCTCCTTTGCATTGGCTTCTGTCATTGGACGGTGAAATAAAATAAAAATAAAATAACTAAGCACGCAAGTGCACACATACAAGTGATGTTGCAATGACCACTACAATCTCTGAGCATTCTCACCTGCAACGTGGACATCGCTCTGTTGAAATTCTCCGCATACAGCGCGTAGAACTTCAGAAACGGTGCCATTCGCGTGAACGCCAGGCCAGGATTTGAGCGGTGCTCACGTAGCGAGTCCAACAGCTCCAGATTGATACGCCGCAACTCGACAATGTTGGAGAAGATTGCATCCATTTCAGACTTGTCCAGGATGGGGTTGACATGCAGTGGCCCCCAGAAGAGCTGAGAAGAAAACAAAGCAAACGAGTACAGTACTTTCAGGTGCCGAAGGAAATAGCGCCGAACACCAAGCAGGCCACAATTTTAACAAGCACAGCACACCGGTATATGCGCGGTGACTACTCTGCGTATAGAATGTACACTACTGATCAATGAAATCCAGTCACAGCGACACTCAAGTACGCGCCGGGCGTTACGCAGCCCTAGACCTGCGAATAATGTGCTGCGAAAAAGGTGCAAGGCGCAAACTATCGTGACGCGACTGGATTTCATTGAGCAGGACTGTACTACGTGAAAATAGGAACAACCTAGGCTACGAGGCTAACCCGCAAGTGTTTTAGCACGCTACAGTACTAACTGTTATAAAGAACCAAAAAACATTTGAAATGGAACAAGTTCACCAGTCTTGGGACATCATTTCACAATTCTCAACCCCCTGAAGAGTGACACCGCCATAACAGCAGCACCATTGTACTTTTAAACACACAACAATGACATACATAATTAACAGAACCCTATGCGTACCGTAACAATAAGGTTGAGCTTTTCCACATAGCTCTCTTCGGATTCCCGTATCTCCCGTATGATGTGTTTTCGCCGCTCAACGCTGTTCAGAATTGGCCCGTTGCCAGACGGTTGCTTGTTGGCAGAGCCGGCGGCCAGTGTGGAGCGTGTTGTCATTGGCTGTGCCCTGCTGGCTGACGTGGCCATGATTGTGGCGGTCGGATCAGCCTTACATTAGAACTAGAGTGTGTGTGTGCGCCTGTGTGTATGTGTGTGTGCCTGTTTGTGTGTGTGTGTGTGTGTGTGTGTGTGTGTGTGCCTGTGTGTGTGTGCGTGTGTGCATGCACAGACGTGCGCGCAAGGCTGTGGATGGTTGTGCGTCACTTCCGCATATCCTGAAGATACACAAAGCACATATTACGTACAGAACACAAGAAGAAGTTTTCTTCAATGGCAGTCATCCTTAGATCTGACTGCGCCACTATATCCAGAGTTATAGCCGGAACAAAACTGATGGGGCGGGGGATCACCACACCCAACATTATGTGATCTTATCGCCATTTTGTGCCACCAATTTTGCCGCCACTTTCACCGACACCAGCAAGCAACCGACCAACTATTGTACTTGCATTCCATGTACCTAGTCACCGGTCACTGGAACCTGCCATTGATATGGTTCTACTCAGTGGTAATTGATGATTATGATGCAATGACTCATGCAGTGCTGTGCTACTAGTACTACATGTGTATGATGTGTCCTCATCATGCATAGAAAAAGGTGGTGCTTGCACTCTGAAGGGTGGCGCATTCATTTTGAAAGGGGGCGGTCAAAAAGTGAATGAGAGCGCAGCGCCCCACTATGTCGCCTTGGCGAGAGCCCTGACATCTGTGTTTTCATGTTTACAGTATGTATAACTTTCTGTGTGAATGCCTTGTTTGGCTAGTGTCTGTACCGATTTCCCACGAGAATATTTTAATATACTTCAGAATCACACATCCAACTCGCAACGGGAGGAAAGACTAAAGGATAAAAAGCAAACAGTACAGAAGGAAGGAAAAGACTAAGACAGAATGAACAGGACAGTGATTGAGTGAGGCTGCACAAAGCAGCGCTGAATGGCATGCTACAAGCTTTGCCGACCTACATGTATGGTCTCGGGGGGGGGGGGGGAGGGGGGGGGGTAAATTCCATTTTCTTTGCTACAAGTATGGGGATTTCTCCTGCAGCAACTGCTGAGCCATTGGTGTCTGGCTAGTAAGACTATTTCAATAGTTACCGTTCACAAATACATCTTCATCTTGTTAATGCACAAATACGGCAATGTGAATTGGATTTAATAAGCCAGATAGTTTGGGCCTAAAAGGGTTCTCTTTACTAGCACAAGGCTCAGTTGATGTCTGGGCCTACCCACTCCAACACTAACACTTGAGACGCGTAAAGGAACATACTTCACACATTCGCATATCTACATTACCGCTGGCTATACAATTGAGTTTAGAAACACAACCAGTTCACCCCTTGTAAAGTATTTATTGTGAAATTTACCACCTCACCCTCGCCGTTAGGTGCTGCATCTGCCATGCCGGAATAATCAGGCATGGTGGTGGCCTGGCACGAGCGAACCTTCTTGTAGCTGGTTGTGTTTCTCAACACAATTGGAGGCCGGTGGCAACGCGGATGTGCGAACTCTACTTACTTCAACATAACCAGCTTAGAACTTAAGTAAGTTAGTTTCGCCTCTGCCAGACAACCACCATGCCCGGCGATAGATACCCCTGGCCAGGGTGACAACTCATTGCTGCAGTTCCTAGCAAGGAGAGAGTGAGAGGCACGTCTCGCATGTGCTCAACACAGGGCAAAACCTCATCCTCGTTACAGTTAGTCTCATTCCCAGTAATGTGTAGTACCCAGGTGACACTGCTAGGGGGTGTCAGCCCAGTTCTTCAAATGACTATGTAAAGCTACTCAACCAGTCCACGGTGACAGAGTGCTGGTTGAAGTAACGACGTTACGTTAGTTGGGTACTGGTAGTAGTACTACAGTAGAAGATGGAGCCTTAGTGAACAGCTCTTTATCAATGATGACAAAATATGAAAAATTCTCACAGTAATTTTCACCAGAGATTCTTCAAGTGGACTACTTCATCTTTATGTACATGGGCTGTTCTTCCGGATATTTCCATCCAGCAGTGACAACAGTTGAACGACGGGGGGGGGGGGGGGGGGGGGGTTACGTATATTTCTATACTACTCATACTGTACTGTAGTAGGCACTTCAGTCACGTGACAGGACCTGTCAAAATTTGCTAAGGTGAGAGTGCGTACTTGCGTGGCACCAGTCAAGTGCATGCGCAAAACTGCACAGGTACGCGCTATGCTTCGTTGTGCGGGCTGATAGTTGGGCGCATGGTGTTGCTCTGACGTTCAGCTTTCAGTAGATCCCGCACACGTCATAGTGCGTACATTTTTGCGAGTTGTAGATCACGTACACTTCCAGCAAAGTGTTTTTTCACAAAGAACTGTTGTTTGCTCGCGTTTGAAACGTTGCTTATCGTCTTCAGCGTCGTCTTTCCATTCGGAAACAGTAGAGTTCTTGTTTACCAGGGTTTGCGCATCGCTGCGCAAGGAGACATTATGGACGTAGGCACTGAGAAGTATGCGCTTTAGGCGGAGGAGAACGACGATGCGTCGTCCTACCTGGGCGAATTCTCAAAGCGTACTGAGAGCCAAATTTTGACACGGTTGCGCTGGAAGGCCTACTGATGTTTACAAACAATCAAAAGGCACAGTGGCTGCCGGAGAAACCCTCCGATGAGGGGATGCTTTGATATACGCAGCCAGGCACGCTTCACCGAAATTTCAAAGCTCACCAGCAGGCAATTCATGACTGCTGCATGGAGCAGTTGAAGGAGAGGGAGGCAGATATCACACCATGGAAAAAAGCTACCAACAGAGGTCCTGAGGAACTTCTTGCCAACTTGAAATCACTTGAAATGGCATGACTGTGGGCACGAATGTCCTGTGCAGTAATTCGCGCGCTCGCGCGTACGCGCGTACTTACCCTCCACTTTGCTGTGTACGGCGTACAACGTGGAAGTTCTCTGTTGTTTTTGTGCCAGAAGAATGTCTTTATAGCTCTTACGCTTTAGTACCCGCAGGAGCCTGCCAGTATGTCGTTATCAGTTCATTTCACAGCAAACTGAAGCTGTTACTATGGGTTACTATGGCGTTGCTATGGGTTGCTATAGTGATTGCGGTCACAATTGCTATATTCTTGACTATTCTGAACTTTGATCTGTATTGTTTCGATCCATACATGGTTGTTGGTGTAAGTGAGTGATGTGTGCTTGAAAAAAACACTCTGATGTTTTGTGACTATATCCACTGATGATACTTCGGAGATGCTGTTGGTGCCACAAATTGTATTGATTTCGCCTTATGCAACTGCCTATCTTCAACCCTTCATATCTGAGTGGTATCACTGTGGATTTCAATAAAATTTTCTGTGTGACCTTGTGATATCCACCACCATCGATTACCGATGATAAACCTGGAAAAAACGCGATTTCAAAAAATGGGGTGAAGTGCCTAACTGTAGCACTTAGATTTTTTTTTTCAAACACATGCACTGTATGTTATCACTCCTTTGAATGCTGGATCACCGATCAGATACCCTCTGATAAAACATTACGGAGTATTCGCAAAGAACGTGTTCATCGTGCGGGCCGTCAACTGACTGCAGTGTTCCATGTACATGAGTCAATCGCCTTCTTTACGACCGGAAGCCCGCAGAACCACTGTGAGTGCCAGCCAGAGTTGCATACGCAACTAACTCCTAGTACTTGGATGCAAGTGCTACGAACCAAAGCCAGAACGACTCGGCTACTCACAGCTCAGCTCATCATCTGGTCACAACACAACACAAAGTCAATGGCGCGGCGCTCTCTACTTTTCATTCATTTTCGCCAGTGCGCAAGCCTCGACGGAGCATAAGGTCTGGTCTGGAGCTGTTCATCTCAAACGTCACTACATAGTACATACAGTACGTAACATAGCCACCCAAAGTAAAGACAGTTCTTTCCCAAACCTATCGACATTATCGTTCTCTCACTGCCGATAGATGTTGTACGTACATGAAGTCTTTGAAGATCTACACAATACTTTGGAAACAACGACACTTACTGACTTAGCGCATTGATCAAAGTGACTACAAGTACAAGCGCAACACATCACGGACACTGGTCTGCTTCTGCTGCCTGCAGAGCAAACACCAGTCGATCGCTGATCACGCCTACAAACATTCACTCACGCTTCCCACACACATGGCGCGTAGTCCGAATCCCTGCCGTTCCAACTCAGCATGTTCCCCGCTCGGAAAGCAAGATTTACTTGAAAAGTTGAATGCCATACAAACGCCAACAGGTCGTGACACGAGCGCATCGAGTACAGTCGGCCAAGCGACAAGCCAACACTCAAGCGTTCTTTCCCACTTTCGATAGTGCAATAACTTACCTTGATGGTGATGTGGACCAGCGTCGATGCTATTTGCTTGGCCTCACAGGGTCCTCTCTCAGTCTCGGCGCTAAACACTAAGACGCTGCGAACAAGCTGCGTTACCTAGCCTCTGACACTGGGTAAATGAAAAGGACTTGTGCCGAAGCGCAGTGTCGGAATTACTCGGGCAACTTCAATGCAGTTCCGCTGCAGAACAATCTGCCTGTTCAATCACTACATGCCCAGTTGCTCGATAGCAAACTTTCAGACGATCGATAACAAGCTGAAAACCTGATGACGCTCACGGGCGCAGCGTTCGCCACATTCCCAACCGATACTGCGATAGTGGACGAAAGTGAGAGGCACTCCGCAGAAAGCAGAAGTTAAAATAATTATATTTTTACGCATTCACGATCACGTCCCAAGGCGAATGCATGCAATGCCATACATGTGCACGACTGCGTCACGTCTGCGTGCGCGTGGAGTCAGGAGGACTTGATATCAGGGAGTCGTATACGACTCCCTGCTTGATATGTACCAGTGTACGCCCACAACACAACTAACTAGACTTAGTGTAACGTCACAAGTACAAGGCCATGAATGCTGCGGATCGGAGTAGAGCCCGGGCCCCGGGCTGATTTTGAATGCAAATGGCACAGTTGGGCGGGTGACAAGACGACGATAAAACAATATGGGGCATGTACGTGTACATGGTGTACGTACGTACCAAGAGTGTATAACCCCCCCCCCCCCCAGGGCAGGGTGGTGGTATAAAACTGGTATTATACTCTTTATTGAGACCGTACCGGGGATGCAGAATTATGTCATACATGTAGTACAGTAATCAGTATTGTTATCTTGGTTATCTGCAGATGAACCTTGATTGCCGTGGGTGGTCAATAGGGTGAAAAGCAGGGCGATTTCCTGTTTCATACTTCGACATGAAACTTGGTCAGAGAAAACAAGAAGAGGTTCTGATTTTCACTGGATCCGTGTAAGAATCATGTAGGAGTGCCTGCGACTATACATATCGTACAATCATGTACATACATGTATGATATAACCTAACACTGGTTAAAAACCAGTATTACAAATGTAGATACTAGTAAACCTTGTTATAGTTCACGCAATTGTTAGATTGACAGCATGTAACAAGGTGGAGGACACTGTGTTCGGAAACAGTGACCTTACTACAACCTTCCGCGGTTGGCAGAGCCCCGGTCCCTGCGGACCATTTGAACCATATGGGTATCGCACCCGGTTCTGACACAAAGGCCTCTTTTACGGGAAAACAGAATACAATTGACAGTGGCATGGCGAATGATTAGAGCACAACACCAAAAATGAAAACAATTGTATGTGTGAAAAAAACGAGAAAAAACAAAAAAAAACCCTCATTATGCTAGGGGGTTAGGAGACTACTCCTGATGTCGTCTTGTTTTCTTCGCTCTTTTCTTTAACTTGTATAAAGACTTCTTTTTCTTTTTTCTTCCAACTTCTGCCCATGCCGTCCTTCTCTCAGCTCGTCAACTGTCAACAGTTTTTTGTCATCACCATGACACTGTCGCGAGAAGGTGCTCTCTGTAGTCAAGTGGTCCGCAGGGACCGGGGCTCTGCCAACCGCGGAAGGTTGTAGTAAGGTCACTGTTTCCGAACACAGTGTCCTCCACCTTGTTTCATGCTGTCAATCTAACAATCATGTACATGTACATGAACAGTACATTTGAAATAGTATTGCCCCCCCCCCCTGGCCCATGTCACACAACAGCGCAAACAACTTCGTAGAGTTTGACGACGATTGAAGGGAAAACTCTATACTAAAAGGTACCGCCTGAAGTCTGTACAACTTTTGTAGTCTATTTGTTTACTAGGACTGCCCTTTTCATTACGAAGTAGTGGTTGCGACTTCGGCGATGACTTGTAAGAAAGGGTTTGCTCCCCACACCGGAGCTCGCGCTATTCCGCCGACTTTACTTGACACTTGACTGACTCACGACTGCCATCCAGAGCACACGAGAAGTCCATCGAACCTTCGACTCGGCAAACCTGCAAGAAAGCCCCACTCCCTGCTCAATACACAGTGTTTCGGGGAATTCACCCCTCATCAGTTGAGCTTGAGTAGGCTGAGGAAGATTATGCCTGAAGAGCACCACTTACATGTATATAGTGCTCTCCAGGCACAAACATCACCAGGGATACAAACTTACAGAGACGCTCCGTTTCCAGCGCGACAAACATCTCGTGAACACCAGATAGCAGCGTGAGTCAGTGTCGCTCCTGGACGGTGAGACAGACGTCGAGGTACCTCGGTCATTCGACACGCTTTCACCACCAAACCAACTACATAGTCGCAAGCCCGCGCTGAGCACAACAGTACGAAGTAGTGGTTGCGACTTCGGCGATGATTTGTAAGAAAGGGTTTGCTCCCCACACCGGAGCTCGCGCTATTCCGCCGAATTAACTTGCCCTTTTCATTGGCACAAAAACACAATATTTATTTTTATTTATTTATTTCTGCACCTTGTGGCATGTCAAGACAGCCAATTGAATTGAGGAGAGGGTGAGACCAACCACGGAAGAAGAGAAAAAAAAGAAAATGAAGAGCACGTACACAAAGTGGGAAGGGATTAGCAACTTACAAAGCAATGGGATGCTCAGCGAGCTATGCAGCGGAAGTGGGGACTGTGACTTTGTTTACTGGGAGATACTGAAGTGCTGTCTGACGAGGTACGGAATTTGGGCATATCTGGAGCTTGTCTAACACTGGGAGGCAGTTGGAGCCACGTGAAGTAGGAGGAAAAGAAAGGGGAATTTACGAATAGGGTAGACCTAGCTAGGGGGAGACGAACGCAGCTTCGGGTGGTGCCACCTGAATTGAACCAATTAAGGGACTGTAAATGAGCAGGGTGCTGGTCAAGAAAAATTGAATGTGCCAGGGTGCACTTGGAAGCGTCAAGGTAATGTTGCAGAGTGGTAGTGGATGCAGCAGCATACAAGTCTAGATTTGAGATATAACGATCAGTACGAAATATGATGCGCAGTATACGGCGATGGAGAACTTCTAATTTACCTATGTGGGTTTTGTTAATGGTGGACCAGGCAGGGAAGTCGTACGTGAAGAGGGGAAGAATGTATGATTTATAAAAATTAATCCGGCAATTTTGGGGCAAATGGGACAAGTGACTTGACATTATGCCGACAGATCGGCATACTTTGGACGACACATGATCAGCATGGTGAGACCAGGAGAGGGCGGAATCAATGACAATGCCAAGGTGTTTATGGTGGGGCGCTACAGAGATAGGGTGACCGGGATCATCGGAAAAGTGGAAGATGGGCACTGGATCTGTGGGAGGGGGAAAAAGGAGGAGCTCGGTTTTGGTCCCATTTGGCTTAAGGTACCAAGTGCTCATCCAGTGAACAATGCCGTTGATACAGGTCTGAACGTCGGGGTACAGGGTGGCGTGAGATGGAGAGGAAGCAAG